TCCAAAGGATAATTTGTAACTGAACATAGGGCTAACCTCTTTCAAGGCATGGGCCAAATCTTCTGATGAGAACATCATGGAAGCGCCATCATGAATAACAGCTTCTCCTTTACTAAGTATACCGTAACACTGTAAGGCATGGTGAAGAGCTTGTAGGCATAGTTTTCGTCTCGCCACCACAGCAGAACTGCAACGAAGTAGTCATAGTAAGTTGTCCGCAACAACTGACGAATAGCAATGAGTAGATGGATTGTCAATCTATAGTATTTGAATCGAGCACAGGAAAAAAGGGACTCACTCATCTTGTTCACCACGTAGGCAGTCAACGGCTTTCTCATTTGTAGGGGTTCCTAGATATACCGCCAGATCATAGCGGTAGACTATTTTACTTTGAACACTTACTTCCCAGAAATTAGTCAGTAGTCTCACCTGAAATATAAACCATTTCAAAACGCCGTATCACTAGTTAAGGGGTCCTGGGGTGAAGAATAATTAGTCTCTCCACAATGACAATACTGGAAGCGTAGAATAGATCGGGGAAAATGGGTCGCCACCATACTGATGATTCGTAGACCAAAAGCAATATTGAATCCTGTTTCGATCAGAGTAACCAAAAATGCTGGCGTATAAAGAGGCCACTGGATAAGCAAAAGGATGTCTTTCTCTCGACTTGTGAATATCTCGGTCTATGCTGGTTCCTCATTTTTAATTGTTCATTTTTAGCAGTTGTTATTCAGACCTTACAAGCTCCAATCTGTAGAGGACCAGTGTGATGCCTTTGTATGAGAAATCACGTGTAAAATTTGAATACTGGATGAAAACAGGAATGCTTGGCGTCACTACTACTCTACAATCCAGCGGCCAATCAGATCGAGTCCCATCAGGACCGGTCAGACCTTCCACCAGTCTGCACCCGACTTCTCGATACTATTAGGTTGGAAGGAAAGCCTTGCAGCAAAATGAAGGGCATTTTTTTAAAGTCGCCACTGAAATTTTCCAGGCCAATTAATTTTCGGAAATATATTTATCAGAGAGGTCAACAACCTTCTATTATCCTTTGAGTAAATCACTGATCCCTTTTATCCAAATTACAATTTTTTTCCACAGCGGTATGCTCAAGAAGGCGAAGCGCATGGTAGGTAAAAGCGGCAACACTTAGGGAGTACGAGTATGAACAACCTGGAGCCAGTTCGAATCATAGAGCTTTCGACGCATGTTTAAAGCGAAATTTCGACGTGCGTTGTCCCTCTGTAGGGACCTAATTTACGGTTTTGATCGTCCTTCTCTAGTCCCGCTGGCCAAATTTCGGGGTTCATAGGGGTAACCGATAGCTGTGTTCATCTAGTCTGCGTTTAGCAACTCATAGTGGATGGATCTCTCCAACCTCCATCGAATCAAGGGACGATGCTTGGGTGACTTCGAAGGCTAATATCTCCTCCAATGAAGTGATCTAGCCGATTATTGCCGTTGATCGGTGAGCAGTGCCAGCACTGAATAGGTTGCTGATAATTTGAGCCGCTACACCCGCGTTTTTCCCCTAGCGCGCTTCGTAGAAGGTGATGGTACAAATCGGGTGCTGTTCATTCATTGACCGTAAAGCTGCTAAAGCCCACACGCGTGCCTTTAATTACTCATGTGTTGATGATCTGAGGAATGTCCTACAAGTTTATCACTCTTCTACCGTGTTCCTACTGTTGATTCTCTGTACTGTATCCTAAATTGCTGACGATTCAAATTTTTTGTTTCAGGATTTCCCTTCCAACCTAATATGTCTGTCCATTAGTACGAAATATAAATTATGCACAGCTGGACAATGTTAGTCATCCCACGCCCATGAATGTTTTTGGAACTAGTTTTGAAGATATTTCGATGCGAAACCATCCTTTCTGGAATTCTATTGAAATCATAGTGGCATATTGAACCCGTAAGTGGCCTACGCAGTGGCTCACGGTCGCCAACCAGTGCTTCTATCCTTCCAGACAAGTCTGGCACCATTTTAGCCAATCCCTTAGGATCCGAAGGCTTGGTCGGCCCAGGCTGATGCGAGAATCCATTTTCAGAAAACGAGTGTGACAGCGCGCTTCTTGGCACCGAACCATTTCTCCCACACTGTTTCTGACTATTTTCTAAGTAGATTTTTTGATTTCATTCGCCGTTGCACCATAACTTGGCGCTTCAGAGCACAAGTGAGGTGAAATAATGCAAGTTGTGGTATGGTACCACTTTCAAACCTTGATACTTTACTTTTTTCTACCTTCTAAGACTTTACATTCCACAGAAAACTAACCCGCTCTTTGTTCGCTCTCGATGCTGGCTCCTTTTTGGGAGCAAG